ACGCAACGTAGAACTAACTGAGCCTTTAGCGATATAATCCACAATTTGTGTTCAAATTATGTAGACAAAATTAACAATAAAAAGCTAAAATAAATCCCGTGATCAATTAAAAAAATGTTAAATATTTAGTGTATGTATTTTATAGCGGATTTTGATTTTGTTTAGTTTATACAATAACGTTTTTGGAAAACAGTTAACACGATTGGGTTCAGCATACTCGAACTAGGTTAACTCGTCGTGTACCACGTTTGATAGAAAATGTCAAATTCATGAGCAGTGTAATTAATTCGAAGATTATATTTAATAATTTTTTGTTGCAAAGCGTAAATTAGTATTTTCTCTTCTTTTAACAGATCTCACAAAACTATTCTTGAGGATATTAATTACCAACTAGAATTAAATCGGGCAATTCCCGGCAAACCCGATCAAGATTATCCTATTTATAGCACAGTTTCCTAAAACAACATTTTCATGTAATGGTAAGCTAGAAGGATATTATGCTGATATCGAAAGTAGATGCCAGCATTTCGTATATGCACAAATACCGCGACATCTACTCAAGGTTTTTGGGTTCCTATGTCCTAATGGGACTCTTTTCAGTCAAAAATTATTGGTCTGTGATTGGTATAGAAATGTGAAGTGCAACGATTCAGAGTTATATTATAATAATAATAATATTGAGGTGGGAACTGAATTTACCATAATGAAAACTATTCGCCTTATGATGCAATACCCTATTAAAATGCTTAAAGGAGATTATACTCGATATATTGAAGAACCACATGCAGAGAAAAACTTTACAAATCGAGAAAAACTATATTAAACATTTTTACGATTACGAAAACCCGAATCAAAACAATAGAAGCAGTTTGTTGATAAATAATTTGGGAGTGTTATCACCTGATATCAATTACGTAGTAAAAAACGAAACAGCCCCAACTAATACTTTCAAAGAAATACAATCAGTGAAATAAACCTTGCCTTGAATATAAATAACTTGGCGGAAACAGAAGTAATCAATGCAACAACTCAAAAGAATCCTGATACTATAAATAAACAGCCATTTCGCTTTTTAAGTCAGGAATTCTCAACTCAAAACTTCCTAAATAAAGAGGCACATGAGAAAATAAACCATACAATCGATGTAAGTACGAATTTATTTATTATGTAAGTATTAATGTATATTAGAGGTAATCAAAAATATCGATTTTGTTTAGATGGGTCTTATTTTGTTTATTAATGTCCAAAACTAACTGGTGTTAAATTTTGGCCCAATCGGATTACGGGAACCCGTGCCGGAATTCGATTGAAATGTGTGAAATTGGGTAAAGAATAGGACTTTTATAATTTCTTTAAAAATTGTGCCATTAAAATTACATTTCGACCAAACAGTATTTTTCACACACGAACCAAACCATACACATATGAAAGCACATAATTTATGTGGCATAACTTAGTTTTTTATTTTCTGATCGTTTGTTCTTTTTTAAAGGACTTTAAAATTTGAGGTACATACAATTTTTATAAAATATTTGTGGTCACCCTATTATAACATTATTGGTATCAGACCAGGGTACACTAAACTATGCATCACTACAACAATACAAAAACAACATGTATTTTGTTTTTGTAATTGTATGAGCTCAATGTCAAAATAAATTAAAATATTTTTTGATGTTTGTCTTTTAAAAAAATTCTTAATTTTATTTCAAAAAAACATGCAGTGATTTTTAAATGGAATTTTAAGGGATATGCATGTTTATATACTTATATTATAATTGGCAGAGGACCTGACAAAGCAAGATTTTGGAATAACCTGATTTGTGCCACGAAATTTGTATCTTTAGCTACAAAAGTTTGGCAAACGAAAGTGGGCGAAAACGTGCGCAATACTAAAGATTGTTGATATCTGAATTGGCCTGATTTGTGCCAATAAAGTTGTGTTGTGGCTACCAAAGCACAGTGGTATAGGAAAAAAAAAAAGAGGGAAATAATTCGGTAACTTCTAAACGGTTAATCCGATTTTAATGAAATTTGGTGTGCACAAAGAGGAGGTGTTGTCGAGTTTAGGTTTTGAATTTGGACCTTATAGGCCAACCAGGGGCCCGGCGGGGGGTCATCAAATTAGGACACCTCGGCTATGTTAAATTTTTAAAACGATCCTATTTCTTCATTTGAGTTCCAATTAAAAAAAATTTCGTATATAGAATCTCCTCATCGAGCACTATAAAAAATGTTGTCATAGCAGTAAATTATCTCTTATAGTTTAGGAGATATTCGCATTTGAAAATTAAAATTTTAAAATTTTTACCGTCCTTACTTTAGTTTTTTTTGATAATAGCAGGTCCAAATATTCCCGATTTTCGCCATTTTGTTTTATTCGCTTAACAACAAGTTTATATATCAAGCAGTGAAAGAATTATGTAAAAATCATGACTGAGTCCAAAGTTATAGGCATTTTAATTTAAAAAATTAAAAAAAGGCGATTTTTTGTCATTTTTTTCGGAAAAAAGTATCTTTTTCTTTTTAAGTTATCTAAAAAGTTTCTAAGAAGATGTATATAGAATTTATACTTTTTGGAAAGCTGACTTTACATAAAGTACGATAAATGAAACAAAACCTAAAAATTTTTGATACCGAGGGGACCAGGTCCATCCAAAAAAACCCTATTTTTTATGGAAAATTAAATTTTGAGCAAAAATTCTCAAATCGCATAGTCGATATCAAATTATAGTGACCTGTTTTATATGACCCAATATGTTCTTAATCATTTTGTAACGGGTTTCGATAACCCCGCCCCTGGTATGGATATAATAGGCAAAAAACTAAAAAATCCCATTTTTGGGATTTTTTAAAACTTTTTTGGGAATTCCGGGATTTCTAATAAGAAAATTCGAAATTTTGATTTAATTTTGGATTTTAAGTAAAAAAATCTACCTAACTGTAAAATTTCATCAAAAAATATTCATAAATAAAATTTTTATTGCAATTAGAAAAATTTGTATCTTCGCAAAAACTGAATAAAAAACATTTTTTAATTTTTTTTAAAAAAAGTATTCCGCGAATTTTTTAATTTTCAAAAATTATATACAGTTTTGAAAAATAGACAAAATTACCTTTCCATTGATATATAACATGCCTACCTAATGTTTTTTAAGTGACAAATTAATTAGGGAAAACTCAACATCTTTTAGAAAATTTGCCTAGCACTATTATTTTCATCCATAAGGTTAACTCTTAAATTTGTTACATATATGGATGAAAATAATAGTGCTAGGTAAATTTTCTAAAAGATGTTGAGTTTTCCCTAATTAATTTGTCACTTAAAAAACATTAGGTAGGCATGTTATATATCAATGGAAAGGTAATTTTGTCTATTTTCAAAACTGTATATAATTTTTGAAAATTAAAAAATTCGCGGAATACTTTTTTTAAAAAAATTAAAAAATGTTTTTTATTCAGTTTTTGCGAAGATACAAATTTTTCTAATTGCAATAAAAATTTTATTTATGAATATTTTTTGATGAAATTTTACAGTTAGGTAGATTTTTTTACTTAAAATCCAAAATTAAATCAAAATTTCGAATTTTCTTATTAGAAATCCCGGAATTCCCAAAAAAGTTTTAAAAAATCCCAAAAATGGGATTTTTTGGTTTTTTGCCTATTATATCCATACCAGGGGCGGGGTTATCGAAACCCGTTACAAAATGATTAAGAACTTATTGGGTCATATAAAACAGGTCACTATAATTTGATATCGACTATGCGATTTGAGAATTTTGCTCAAAATTTAATTTTCCATAAAAAATAGGGTTTTTTTGGATGGACCTGGTCCCCTCGGTATCAAAAATTTTTAGGTTTTGTTTCATTTATCGTATTTTATGTAAAGTCAGCTTTCCAAAAAGTATAAATTCTATATACATCTTCTTAGAAACTTTTTAGATAACTTAAAAAGAAAAAGATACTTTTTTCCCAAAAAAATGACAAAAAATCGCCTTTTTTTAATTTTTTAAATTTAAATGCCTATAACTTTGGACTCAGTCATGATTTTTACATAATTCTTTCACTGCTTGGTATATAAACTTGTTGTTAAGCAAATAAAAAAAAATGGCGAAAATCGGAAATATTTGGACCTGCTATTATCAAAAAACTAAAGTAAGGACGGTAAAAATTTTAAAATTTTAATATTCAAATGCGAATATCTCCTAAACTATAAGAGATAATTTACTGCTACGACGACATTTTTTATAGTGCTCGATGAGGAGATTCTATATACGAAATTTTTTTTAAATCGGAACTCAAATGAAGAAATAGGATCGTTTTAAAAATTTAACATAGCCGAGGTGTCCTAATTTGAGGACCCCCCGCCGGGCCCCTGGTTGGCCTATAAGGTCCAAATTCAAAACCTAAACTCGACAACACCTCCTCTTTGTGCATACCAAATTTCATTAAAATCGGATTAACCGTTTAGAAGTTACCGAATTATTTCCCTCTTTTTTTTTTCCTATACCACTGTGCAAAGTGTGGCTAAAGACAACAGCCTTCTCAACGTGCGCAATACGGGGGATAGTTGATATCTGGAATGACCTGATTTGTGCCATTAAAGTTCTATTCTAAACGGATGAAGTTTGGCTAAAGACAGCGGACCTCAGAAAGGGCGCAATGCGGAAGATGGTTGAAATGTATTTTTTGTGCAAACAATATTATTTTTTTACAAACTAAACATTTTAAATTTTTTTATTATTAAAATTTTATTTTGTTTCAAATAAACAAAAACATATTTTGACAGAGAAGGTATGCAAATAAGAAAACAAAAAAATTATCAGCTGTTCGATTGCATATACCTGTTTAGTGTACACTGGTATCAGACGAAATAGAAAAATTCCCATATTCATATCTTGCATGGTATAAAGAAAACAAGGTAACTCCGTTCTCTCTCAATGAAAATTTTTTTGACGTAAATAAGAATTATTGAAATTTATTCTTTGTAAACAAATAAGGAGAAACGTTGCCACACATGTAGAAGGGAAAATCATATTTAGGAAATTAGAAATAAAAAATGTGGAATTTATTTACTAGATACAAGAATTCACAGAAAGAATCAAGATGATAAACCATACATTCGTTAGAATATTCGAATCAGAGGTATCATTTGAAAGGGGTTTTAAAGCTGAATCCAATGGTTCCAAGTTTAGTACTCATGTTGTAAATTTTATTTTAGAAAAACTGTACAATTAAAAAAATACTAAAAAGTGTCTTATTTGTAACCACTCATCAGCCATCGATAGACTCAGAATATTTTGGGAACCATGATAAAACATAACAATTGTCTGTTCTAACGATATTTTCATCAAAACGGTCCAGCCCACAACGGAGAACATTAAACCCAAATCCCAAAATATTTTGGTTAATATCATATAACATAAGCTGCATTTTTGCGAGTCGGTCTGTGGTAGCATTCCTTTGAAGATCCGTCGAAATCTAGAGGTTTTTGCTTGGCATGTGTCTTAAAGTTAATCCGAAGGCCCTATTGGATTGGACACAGAAGAAATTACAGAGAAATCATATCTGTTTTACGGAGAATGGCCCGCACTACTTACAAGCAAACTTGAAATCAGCAGGGTCCGTCCGCATAGTGAAGAACGGTTTTTAACATTTTTATTATTTTCTTTATTATTTGTATTTTATGTTGAAGAATATTTGAAATTCAAATTTTGAATTTAGTTTGAAAAATATTTTCTATTTTCTATTTTTATATTGAAAGAAAAAAAAATAAATAATAAACAAAAAACTTGGATTTGTAAAGTAAATATGGTAGCATATAAAAAAATAAATCGCTTAAACGTCAGAAGTTTAATATGGCTACGAAAAGAGAGAACGGTTATACCATGGTATAAAGAAAACAAGGTAACTCCGTTCTCTCTTAATGAAAAATTTTTTGACGTAAATAAGATTTTTTGATATTTAGTTTTTGAAACAAATAAATAAAAACGTTGCCACACAGTTTAAAAGGGAAATTATATTTAGGAAATCAGAATTAAAAAATGTGTAATTTTGTTTACTACAAAAGTGTAACTGTTGTGAATTGCAAATATAAACGATTATAAATACGTTTTAATAAATGTTTTATTATTGTTTTATATT